GGGATTGCGGCGTGACCATCTCCCCTGGGGGGTGACTTCTCGCTTTCTGTCTGTCTCTCTCTGTCTGGTGAGCGTACGTGCCCTATAGCAAAAACCTCTCCAAAAAAAAAAAAAAGTAATTATTTATTTCATTCCATTGGTTATTATTATTTTTTAAATAATTGTTTATTTACTTTTATTTATTTATTCATTTTTTTCCTTATGAATTTATTTTTTATTTATTTTTTCTCTTTAAATTTATTTATTTATTACATTAATTCACTATACATCATTACAGCATACAAATGAATTTTTCCATCCAAAATACACTGTGTATTGGCTCAATCAAGCACATCAACATACAGGTTTTCAGCAAATAATTTTCCAATTCTTATGTCTTGTATACTTTGTTTTTTGTTTTGCCATCCTTGATTCATTTATTTTAATTTGATCAGAGAGAAACAGAGAAAGAGAGAGAGAGAAAGTGAGAAAGCAAGCCACCAGGTCTGGGACTTGAACCATGGTAAGCCATGTGGGAGTGTCCAGCACCTTAACCACCATGCCACCTGCTGGTCCCTGTTATTATGATTTTTCAGTTTGACCAGAGAGAGAGAAAGGAAGAGTGGGGAAAGCAGCCTGCCAGCTCCAGGGCTCGAACTGCGGTCAGCCATGTGGGAATCCAGTGCCTTCAACCACCACGCCACCTGTCAGACCCTTCCGTAGACTTTTTGAAGACCCTTCATATATATGTATGTATATCCTGAAGGTAAACTGATGCGATTGTTGTCATGTAAGGTCCGGTGGGGAGTTTGGTACTGAGAGCATCACAGAATTTCAGATTTTAGAGCCGTTTCGGATTTTGGATTTACAGAGTAGGAATACTCAACCTATATTTCTTTGCTTTGTTTTGTTTGTTTTAAACTTGCTCAGACAGTACCTGCTCTCACTAGCAAGAGACAGAGGGAGAGAGACAAAACATCCCTCCTTGTGGGGTGTGGTCAGACTACAATCCCTTCTCTTCCATTTCTCCTTCCTGTCAGGATTTGAGACGCACACACACACACACCTACAGGTCATCAAGGCAAAGATTTTTTTCCTCCGCCTAAAGAATTATTTATTTATTTTATTTTATTTGTTTTTTTTTTATTTTTTATTTTTTTTTAATTTAACCTGAAAGAGAGACAGAAAAGGAAAATGGCAAAGCAGACTTCCAGATCTGAGACTTGAACCGTGGTCGGCCACGTGGGAGTCCAGCACCCTAACCGCCACAACCCTTGCTGGCCCCCAGCGCCAAGATTTGAACTACAATTGGCCATGGAGGGATCTGGTTCTCTTAACCGCTAAAGCCAGGGAGCGGGTCCTGCATTTTACTTTACAGATAGATACATTTTACATAAAACAAAATGCAGAGATTTTCAATGTTCTATTTCAGGAATTCCGATACTGTGTATACCTACGTAACCTCTAAAATAACATACAGACATTTCTATTGTCCCCAGAAGATTCCCTCAAATCATCCTGTTGTTAAATAATAATAATAATAATTTATTCAACTTTATTTATTTTAATTTGACCAGAGAGAGAATGAGAGAGAGAGAGAGAGAAAATGAGAAAGCAAGTCGCCAGGTCCGGGACTTGAACCGTGGTCAGCGATGTGGGAGTCCAGCACCCTTAACCTCCACACCACCTGCTGGCCGCCAAATCGCCCGTTTTTTAATACTTAATTTCTTCCGTGAGAGAGAGAGACAGCGACAGCCATCCCCCAATAGGGTTTCCACACTACAATCCATCCTCATTCTCACCCGGCCCGATGGCAGGCTTGCACACACGTGTGCATCTCGCGTGTTCAAGGAGGTCCCGGGCTGCGAACCCAGGACCTTTCCCATGGGAGTCCAGTTGTATTACTGCCCTGACACCACTCAGCACCTCAGATCCCTTTCTGACAAACCATGCCTCGCGAAAGGCGGTCATCCTTTCTGGCTTCAGACTTGGCGATTTATCCGTGTGTGTTCGGACTCAGTGTAAACAGAACCATATAGCTCGTTCTCTTTTGTGTCTTTTTTTTTTTTAAGAGAGATTTTTGCTATAGGGCACATGCATTTCCCCGAGAGACAGAGAGACAGAAAGCGAGAAATCACCCCCCCAGGGGGGATGGTCACGCCACAATCCCTTCTCCTCCATTCTCCTCTCGGGATCTTGGGCACGCACGCACACGCGCCCGGCCTGAGTTTAAGCCACTGGGTCCGGGACGCGAACTGCGGTCGACTACATGGGAGTCCAGCGACATAGCCATGACGCTAACTGCTGGTCCCTGCGGCTCCACTTTTCTGATGACAGACATTTGAGCTGGTTCCAGGTTCAGGCAATCTGTACAAAACGCTGCTTCTCCTTCCTTGTTTCTGTTTTTGTTTTTGCCATGGGGTGCCTGCCTTCACAGGAGAGAGAGACCGAGATAAGGGGCAGGAAAATGGCAAATCACCCTCAGGGCAGACGGCCACACTGCGATCCCTTCTCCAGTCTCCTCTTGGGAGGCAGGCGTGCTAAGCATGCTTTTCAAGCTACCAGGTCCAGGAATCGAACCACATAATCTGCTACGTGAGATCCAGCTGCCTTAACCTCCATGCCACCTGCTGGCCCTCTCTCTTTTTTTTAAATTTATTTGCTTGTGCATGGAAGAGAGAGACAGGGCCACAGGTATCCGTAACAAGGTCTTCACGCTGCCATCCAGCAGCAGCCTCAGGCAGCCCGGAATACAGGCACACACAGGGAGGCCTCGGGTCGCAAACCCAGGACCTTCCAATGTGGTTCACTGTATTATGGTTGTACTGCCATCTGGCCCTGCTTCTGCCTTGTTTTATTATTTTTTTTTAGAGAGATTTTTGCTATAGGGCATGTGCATTTTCCAGAGATAGAGACAGAAAGGGAGAAATCTCCCTCCATTGGAGAGGCCACACCACAATCCCTTCTCCTCCATTGTCCTCTCGGGATCTTGGGCACACACGCACATGCACGCAGTGTGAGGTATTTTTATTTATAAAGCTTTATTTAATTTTATTTATTCATTCATTTCTTTTAATTTGACCAGAGAGAGAGAGGGAAAGTGAGAAAGAAAGCCACCAGGTCCAGGACTTGAACTGTGGTCCACCATGTGTGAGTGTCCAGCATCTTAACCACCGCACCACCTGCTGGTCCTGCCTAGTGTGAGTTTTTTTGCAGACGTTTTTGCTATAGGGCGCATGTGCTCACCAGAAAGACAGAGACAGACAGAAAGTGAGAAATCAACCCCCATGGGGGATGGCCACACCGCAATCCCTTCTCCTCCATTCTCCTCTTGGGATCTTGGGCACGCACGCACACGCGCCCGGTGTGAGTTTAAGCCACTCGGTCCGGGACTGACCCCCTGGGAGTCCAGTGACACAGCCATTACACCAACTGCTGGTCCCCCACCCAGTGTGAGTTTTAAGCCACCGGGTCAGGGACTCGAACTGCAGTCGACTTCGTGGGAGTCCGGCAACGTAGCCATTACGCCACATGCTGGTCCCCTTACTTTATTTTTTTATTGTACCTTTTCCAGAGAGACAGAGGTGGGACGGGGGGAACACACACTGCCCTGGAGTGTGGTCACACGAGAATCCCTTCTCCTCCGTCACCCCGTCCTGTCAGCATCCTGGGCACACACGTGCACACACAGGGCGTGTTCCTCGGCCCTCCCAGTCCAGGACTCGAACCGTGCGGTCGGCCACGTGAGACCTGGATTCCTTGGTCACCAGGCCATGGGGCCGGCCCACTCCTGCAGCTCTGCCTGCTGGGCTGGGGGCGTCTCCCTCTGGGGGGAGCTCGGCAGGCACACCTGTTGGGCCGTTTGGGCACGTGGCCCCTGGTGCTCACCCCCCGTCCCCTGTCCCCACCAGCGAACCCCACGCCCGTTTCTACGCGGCCCAGATTGTCCTGACCTTCGAGTACCTTCACTCACTCGATCTCATCTACCGGGACCTGAAGCCAGAGAACCTCCTCATCGACCAGCAGGGATACATCCAGGTGCCCGCCGGGCCGGGTGAGGGCGGCCCCAGGGCGGCCCCCGCGGGACCCCCCGCTCCCCGCCAACCTCCCATCCTCATGCTCGCAGGTGACGGACTTCGGTTTTGCCAAGCGCGTCAAGGGCCGTACCTGGACCTTGTGTGGAACCCCCGAATACCTGGCCCCCGAGATCATCCTGAGCAAAGTATGAGCTCCCCGCCTGAAGGCCCCGTTCTCCCTCGTCCCCCCTAGTCCCCTGCCCTTGTCCCCTGCTCAGCCCTCCCTCCCCACCCTTCCCTGAAGGCCCCCCCTGTCCCCCCTCGTCCCCCCTAGTCCCCTGCCCTCCTCC